ATGTCTCATAATACTCCTTGTATTCTCAAACACATTCGCTCCTTGCATTTCAGCCACCATTTTGCTCTTTGTGTTCTATTTGCCCCATTATTTTCCCCTCTGTTCTGCCTTCTTTTGCGTTTATGAAATATTTTTTGGTAGTTGATTTTAATTTCTCTAATGAATTTTAGTGATATATTTTTATATTATTTTTAGTGGTGCTTCGAGGATTGCCATATTCATCTTTAACTTATCAAAGTCTATTTACAGTTGCTATTATATCAGTTTACGAAATAGACAAGAAACTTGCAACAGTATAATTTTATTTAACCCCAACTCTGGGATACATTTTGCTTTGTTGGCATATATTTTATACGTGATATAAACTCCAAAGTATATTGTGGAATATTTGCATTATGAAGCCAGGTGCCTTTTAAAGCAATCAAGGTAAAATACATATATTTTTTCTCACATATTAATCATTTTCAGGCCTCTTCACTCATCATAGATCTGGGTTTATCTGGTATCACTTTCCCTCAGCCTGAAGACTTGACTTTAGCATTATTTTTCTCTCTGCTCTGCTGGTGACAAATTTTCTCAGCCTTCATTTATTTGAAAATGGATGTGGAATTCTATGTATACATTTTCTTTCAGCACTTTAAAGATGTCATCCACAGCTACCTGACCTCAGTTCTTTGGATCAGTCAATCATCATTGTGGTATTAGCCTCTAGCCATTGTAATGTTCTATTTTTCTGTGGATACTTTTGAAATTTTCATTTAATCATTAGCTTTTAGACATGTGACTACGAAGTTCCCAGATGTAGTTTTCCTTGTGTTTACCCTGCTTGGGATCCACTGAGTTTCTTAGACTTATATGTCATATTTTTCACCAATTTTGGGAATTTTTTTTGGCCATTATTACCTTAAATGTTTCTGCTTTATTCTTTCTTTCTTATCCTTTTGCACTATTTATCAGGAGGATTGATATTGTTTCACAGTTTCCAGTAGCTCTTTTAATTTTTTTCAATATTTTTCTCTGTGATTATTACATTGGATTGCTTTTGTTGGTCTATCTTCAAGTTTACTGATCATTTCTTCTACTGCTCTTCTGCAATTGCCAATCTGCTATTAAAACTCATGCATGTATTTTTCCTTTCAAACATTATAAATTTTTTTTTTAAAGATTTTTTTACTTTTTTCCTTTTTCTCCCCAAAGCCCCCCAGTACATAGTTGTATATTCTTCGTTGTGGGTCCTTCTAGCTGTGGTACGTGGGACGCCGCCTCAGCATGGTTTGACGAGCGGTGCCATGTCCACGCCCAGGATTGGAACCAATGAAACACTGGGCCGCCTGCAGCAGAGCACGCAAACTTAACCACTTGGCCATGGGGCCAGCCCCTCAAACATTATAAATTTTAGTTCTAGAATTTTCTATTTTGCTGTTTTTAAAATAGTTTCCATTTCTCTGCTGAGAGTCCCACTGTACACTCATTGACCGTAAAATCATCATGACCATGTTTTCCTTTATGTCTCAAACTATTTAAAATTGTCAATTGAATGTCATTATTTACTAATTGCATCTCAGGTTTGGTTGGTTTATATTGATCACTATTTTTTAAATATGTGTCGTAGTATCTTGTATTTTGAATGCCTTACTTTTTTTTTTTTACCACATATCAGATAATTTGTATATTATTGACATCCTGATTTTTAATACTCCTTGAAGAATGTTGATTTTTGTTCTAATAGGAGTTAAATTATTGACAAATCACATTGATCTTGAGCAGAATTAGTTTTGTACTACTTTTGGCTTTGTTTCAGCTTTGTCCTCAGACTTAGAGCAAATCCTTAGTCCTAGAACAGAGAAGGCTTGTGATCCTGCTGGAGTCTTAAAGGAAGGTCTGAAGTATTTATCACGACCCTCTAACTTGGTGGCATTCAAAATCCGAACTCCCTGCAGTGAGTGATAGCTGCAATATTTGTTCAACCTTTCCAGCCTTTCAGTTGTGCTTTTCTTCCAGGCTTCTTGGTATCTTTTTCACCCAAAAGCAAACACCTAAGGGAAGTTTGCATACAGATTTGGAGTCTTACTTCTCTGTTGTTATTTTATTTCTATGATTTCCCCCTCAATATAAGCCAGTTTGGCAGCCCCACACTCTCCTCTTAAACCTCAAAACAATAAGGTTGCTATCTTCTCCTGATTCTAACCATCCTGCACCTCTGGGATGGAGGGTTTTCCTGGGATGTGGGATTTTTCCATGCTAAAACCAGGGGAGTTCCAGGCAAACAGGAAAAAGTCAGCAATCCTTTAAGTGTACTCAGGGGAAAAGTTATGTAATCTTAGATCTCATCCCCTTCAACTTCCTCTTTCTATGGTCAAATCTTCACCACTTTCTGTCTGCTTTCAGGAATTTTCCAGTACTTTACATAGCTGTTTATTTAAAATTTTGCCCTCCAGTTATAATTGTTACCTGCAGGATGGTTAACCTACTTCATCATTACCAGAACCAGAACCTAAGTAATATATTTTAATTCCTCAGAAATTAAGATATTTGGTGTCAACAACCAAACTGGTCCAACTTCTGACCTCATAATTCATTTCTGGGCATAGCATTATAATGATAATAATAGAATGTCAAATTAAAAGTAAAAATAAAATTTTATTCAGAGAAAATTAACCTGCAAAACAATTCTCCAATATGTTGACAGTGGCCTGTTTGAATGAGAGGATGAAGATGGTAGTTTTTCTTCTTTCTACTTTTTAATAATTTTAAATTTTAGCATAGATATATGCATATATATACATATACTATTTACAATGAAAATATAAGCATCATATTTATCAAATCATGGTTATTTAAATATTTATTATAAATGCATCTTCTTAAAAATGGGCAAGAATGAATATAAAAGATGATTACTAAAAAAAATTACTAGATGAGATCTCTTACAAATACCAGTGAATACAGTAGGTGTTGCAAAATCTTAGAAAATATATTAAAATAATTTAATTTCAGAGAGCAACCACTAGATAGGAAAGATCTACAGAGGAAAACTGAAACCTACTATCCAAGAATAGCACAGTTAAAATTGTACCCAGATACTATAAATAGTAAAAGTTCCTCTGTGCATTCTCTTAATATGCTGAGAGGTATTCTGTTATTGAAATAGGTGATAACTTATAGGGATCATTAGGATACTGATAAGGAATCAGTGTATAAATTACTACTCTGTGAATGTGATAGCATTCTTTCTCACAGCTTCAATATGCTTGTCACTAAACTCAAGGGAAGAAACTCACATTGGAAAATTGGGACTGTTCCATATGGTAAAAGACGGACTTGTCGCATCACTTTTTTACAAGGTATGAACCAATATTTGCAACCTAATGGCCTGCATATCTGTTTGGTTTGACATCCTTTGTGTTTTAAAACTAGGACATTTCTCATAATTTTATTTCCGTTTCTTCTGGCAACTCTGACTGGAACAGAGCAGTGGGAAGTCCATTCAGATGGGCTGTGGTCACTCCAGTGTGCATGGTTTTTACCACTTTACAGATTCACAGCCAGGCCTTTTCTTCCACTTGTCTCACTTGCTTAGTTTTAGTAGGCACCTGAGATGTAAGCCTCTGCCTACAAAAATATGATAGAATATCTTCACTAAAAATGAATATACAGCTATTAAAAACCTAGGCTCTTTTTGTGAAAAACTGTAAATATAAGGAGGGGCCAAGTGCCTCACAGTGCAGCAAGGAACAAGAGAATTACAAAGAGAGGGATTTACATTTGTTCTGCCACTAGTTTAATCACAATGGAATGAAGTCATTTGACTGCTACACGTGAATGTTGTTGTTTTAATTGGATTTTGTTCAAATGCCATGAAATAACTGCCTGAAGCAGAGTTCTAAGAGCATGCACATTTGCAGGTGTGTCTGTCAGGCCTTTTTTGCTTCATCATCAGAATGTGTCTCCTCAGCCTCTGTCTTCTCGCTGTTTCTCTTGGGTATATTTTAGGGTTGGAGATGGTATGGACCTACTCATCTCATGTTATATTTCTATGCCTCCTGGACTCCTTACTCAAGTTCCCTACCTAGAAGACTTTTTTCTTGTAGAAAAGGCACTGGTTTTGCAATGACTCCCTGCTAAGTTCCAGGAAGGTGTCTGATTGGTTGTCTTCATCTGTACCTCTATACGAACATCTTTGCTGTGGCCCTTACTCTACAGAAACCTTGAAACCCTCCTCCACATTATTCTCCGTGATGAGTGAATGGGGTTTCCTCTGTGGCAGATGAACTAGGTTGGCAAAGAGGGATATCTCCCAAGTATCAGTATCCATGGTAACATTCTAGGCAAGAGGGAAGCATACTAACACTACTCATCCACCCCAGAAATTTTCAAGATTATCACGAGGCAGAACAAAAAAAAAGTCAATCCCACACAGCAGACAAAAATCCCTTTATATTGTTAAATATCCTCTTAACCCTCCCCCTTTGTCCAACCTTCCTTTAAAAAGCAGCCTCCTATTTTGTGGTCTACACTCTTTACTCAGGCAGCTATTGCCATACATTTACATTCTTCAACTTTCAAGTAGTTTGTGTCTACATTTTCGCTGGGGATGGAGAACAGAAAAAGGAGTAGTGAATCCTGGGGAGCACAGAATTTCTTAATTTCTTTTAATTCTTTCAGTATGTCTCCCTTCATTCAAATTGAAAATCCACCAAATCTGTTTTCCTATAGGATGGCTTACAGAGAAACAGTCTCTCCTCCCCCACTCTCTGCTCCCCTCCCCCACATTGTAATAATGATTTCCAAGACTGCATGATTTTAAATAAGGATTCTTGGCAGAACTGAGGAGATACACTTCTGTCGCTGGTGACATAGTTTATGGGATTGCTAAAGCATCTCTTGTCCCCACGAAAGTCAGTCCTTGCATGCTGTGTGTGCCGTGAAGGGTTAAAAAGCGCTGGAAAGACACCACGCATGTGTTAATTCGTGCTGCAGCAGCGTGCATCACTTCCACTTTGACCTCATAGTTAATCTGCGTGATAGCTGATCACGCAGAAATTCTAGTGATTTTTCTATTTCTTTTAAATACACACACGCACACACACACGCGCGTACACACACACAGCCCGGCCCCCTCTAAAGAAAGAATCAAAACAAAGCAAGCAAACAAACCTAAGTCGATGGACCTGGGGGAGTATGTGTGAGTGTGAGGGAAATGAGTATGTGTGCGCGCGTTTCTCTCTCCCTTATTTGTCTCGGTATGCGTCTCTCCCTGTACCCTCCCCCTGCCTCAATTATATTATTCTCCCAGACTTGGAAGCTGCTCCCTGAACTGACGCTTTGATGGTATCTGCAAGCGTTTGTGCTGATCTTATTTCTGTTCCCTGAATATTAATTCCTGAAGCTGGTAGCAATACAGCTCCCCAGTGACAAGCCCTACTAGAGGCAGGTGGGGGGAGCCACCATCAGATCATAAGCATAATAATAATACAAAGGGGAGGGCTTCTGCAACCAAGAGGCAAGAGGCAGAGGAAGAAAAAAAAAAAAGCGATGAGTTCGACAAATATATGGAGCACAGGAAGCTCAGTCTACTCGACTCCTGTATTTTCACAGAAAATGACGGTGTGGATTCTGCTCCTGCTGTCGCTCTACCCGGGGTAAGATGGGCTGTTTTCGGTGTCGTTTTGTTCCGGAGAGGTGGGGGAAGGGGTGGGGATGTGGAACTACGGAGACCACCCGGATTTAGAGCACTCTTCTAGGATTTGGGGCTTTAGAATTTAGGGGAATGTGAATACAGGCGGCGGGAAAGGGAGGGAGGAATGACGAAGGTCACTTTCGTTTATTTATTAATTTATTGGAATTTATTTATTTGTTTTGTTTTAGAGTGGAAAAGCTAACGTCATAAAGACTTTGCGTTTTGGGATAGCATTTTGATGTTACTGCAATCTGTTGTCGAGGTGGGCTGTGTTGATACATGCCGGCATTTAAGGCCGTATTGGAGGCGTTTGGGGTGGGGGTCTGGAGGAGAAAACTGCAGATGGGGTCCTGGCGCACACCCAGGAGATATGTGTGTGGGAGGAGGGATTCTGTTCCTGTACACCAAAGTACTGCTTGCTCCTGCACCTGGGCATTCTTACGATCAGTCACCCAGGTTTTCTATCCAGCCCCATTGACCTGGCAGCAGCCTCTCTGATGGGAAAACATGCTTCAGCACCAGGGACAGCAGTCCTGACTAGGGCCAAAGGGAAAGAGGCTTGTCTGACCTCACAGGACATCTCTAAATCTACACAGGACATCCATATAGTGCAGACAGAAGGTCGACAGAGCCAAGGGGGCACTAATGATGTCTGGGGACCCTGCTCTGATTATCTTTATTCCCTTCTTGAGATGGGAGGGGGACTACTGGGCAGGGGTGGAGAATGTAGTTGATGAATGCATGGAGGAATGTATGTCTGGAAAAGAGTTGGCCTTCCTGCAGTGTTGATAGATATGCTGAACCAGGTGAATGTGATGCCCAAATTTTGAAATTATGGATTAATGTCTTACCACCTTGCTGCACTGAATAGAAAATATGGGAAAGGGGGGGCGATGGTTTCCCCAAAACCCTGAGCAGGTATGTGCTCTGAAGTGCTTTGCACCTAAATTTTCTTGAACTTTCTTGCACCAAAAGTGTCAGGGGAATATCCTTTCACGTATTGTTCACCATTTAACAACCCACCTAAATAACACCCCCACACACTCATCCTTTCAGGATCTCCAGCCAGGACCAAAGGCAGGTTAGAGGTCCTCTATTTACATTACTTACACTCTTCTATGCTGTCATTTTGAAATAAAACTCCATAAGAATTACTTCAAATCTGCCCCCCCCCCAAAAAAAAGGAAAAGAAAAACTAGCTACAAAATAAATCAAGCCATTTCCCTAAGGTTTTCATGGGAGTTGACACCACTCTTTTAAGTAGCAGGTGTAACACAGGGAGCTAAAAGGGATGGTGGTTAAACTATTATTTATTTTATTGAAAATTTCTAGTTAACTTTTTGGGTCCTTCATTCTCTAGGGTAGGTAATGAGGAATGTAGATTTCTGATACTGAAGAGACCCAGGCAAAACAAGGAGTGAAGCCTCTCTTTGGGGTTTCTAAGCAGAGAGAGGGCCTGCGTAACTCTCACAGCACTTTTCATACCATTCTCCTTTACTATAAAAATAAAGTGTATTTTCATTAAGAGTATAAGATTAAGTAGCTTTCTCAGAAGAAGGGAGGGCCTTTCACTGGAAATGGTTTATGTGCCCATATATTTTAGTGGAATCCTGGAAAAACAATTTTTTCTATTCAAAATTTGCACGCGTATTTTTCTATTAAATGTTCTGTGCATCTCTTAATTTGTTTTCGAAATTAGAGAGTTGATAGTTACTTTTTGGATAGAAAATATTCTCATGTTTCTACCATTTATGAAACCTGTGGATTAAAATCAAGACAAGTCATAGGGAAATACATCATTCCTTCCTACTCACATCCATGTTAGTAAATAACTTTATAACTAAATAGATGAGGATAATCTTATGTATTTTGTCTCCAGTGGTCTTATTTTAACCAAAACATGTGTAATTTTATTCATAATATTTTCATATTTAAGATGTCTTCTTGTTGCAATAGCTCCACTGTTTCTTTCCCAATATTATAAAAAGTAAAACTTAGTGATATATTTTAATTTTCAATTCTTAGCATAGTAGCCTAGATGAGCTGTTTAAATAGCTCTAAATGATGGGAATTATGTGCCATGTAAACTCTTCAATAGGAGGATTTTTACATTTTCTCAATAATGACTGAGAATGGAGTCAGTGCAATATGGTGCAGAGAATGTGATCAGAGTTTCACTTTGCTGCAACCCCATAAAAAAGCCATTTGGATGGCTGAATAGCGCTGGATGGAAACAGAAGCTCTGATCTCTGAAGCTGATCCTAAAGAAGGACAATGAGTACTGAAAAAATATGGAGTACTAGGAACCAATTTGAAGGAGGCTTTTTGGGTAAACAGTGACAGTAGTACCAACTAGAAAGTTGAAGGGAAATTTTAAAGATAATAATTAATTGACTTTTTGATTTGCATAACTCCAAAGAGTAAGTTTTCCCCCTCATTAAATTGATTAAATTCATTAGATTGTGTCTACACAAAAGTAAAACCAGGAGGAATTTAAAGCATTGGGGTGAGGATGTTAATAGCTAATATTTCTTCTTATGTGAAATAGTTAATTTCTGAAACTAAAAATGATCTAAGATGTCGTAAGAATGACCTGGAGAACTTGCTAAAATGGAGATTCCTGAAGCATACACTGAAAGATTCTGAATCGTTATGTCTGAGGTGGAATACTCACTTTCAACAAGTACCCTAGATCGCACATTGAAGAAAAGTGGCATATGCTTTACTGATTTCCAAAAGTTTATTCATCACCATATATAATGTTTACAAGTGCTTTGATTATTACCACTTCAACTGAGCACAATGAGCCAATTTTATATACAGCATTTTCTATTTGAATGTAAATCACTGAGTGTATTATACAAACCATAAAGGATAAGAAATAACTATACAGAATTTTAATAAACTCACTTCATTATGAGAAAACATTGATTGAAAACATAAAACTTGCATACGTACATGAATGTGTATGTAACTGTACTCACAAACTGTATGGACAGACTATATACACTCCATGTACAACTATTCATATATGTAGGTTTTAAAACAAATTTCACTATCTTATAAACTCTTTTGATGTAACTACATTCCATCTTAGAGTAGAAATACCCTAAGCAGAAGAAAGAAATTGGGATACAATAGAAAATTATTTATAGTAAATAGGAACAAGAGCTAGAGTTAAGGATGTTTTTATTTCTATTAGAATAAAAGTAGACTTTATAATATACTTAGAGTGGCAAAGAATTATCTTTCAAGGATAAGTTGAACAGGGATGAATTTGATTGAATTTTCAATAATTAATGTAACTCTTACTTTGAAGTGCCACTACTGAATTTTTTAAAAGAAAATTGAATTAAAGATTTGTAAATATTTTCTGTTCCTGGCTAGTGCCGGAATAGAAATGCTTCAGGTGACTTTTCCTATGAGCTCCTAAAATTTTGCATCCCATAACTAATTTTTTCATAGTTTTTAACTTTAACAGGCTATGACCATGCATGTAGAGGGAGTATTGTAATTCTTCACTATAACTCTCTTTATTTACAGAATTAATCTCTATAGACAAGCTTGTTACGTCCTATCTTTTCCACCTGGTGTTACTTAGAAAAAATCATTTTCTCAGCATATTTTATGGCTTAGTTGTAGACATTAACATTTCAAACAGTCTACCCTGAGATAAACATCTACCTTAAAAAAGAGAAAAGAAATACTTATCACCCAGTATTTTTCAGAATTCAGCTGCCCACCACCTTCTAAACAAAACATCTGGATTGTAGGCAGGAATTGAAAAATTGGCTTTTAATTTAAATAATTAGTTACATAAATGTCTCTCTGATATCTTGCATTCAGTTTAGAAGAGTGAATCATCTCAAAACAACTGAATTGCAAAGTATTTAATGATAGAAGTCTCTCTTATACACATTTTAAAATTTGTTTCATGTCAAGGATTTCTGTTCAAATTGAAAGTTACGACCGACTTTAGAGACTTTATCTTTGTTGTAAATATTATGTTACTAGGGCTAGGGCTATTTCTCACTGTCACAATTTCCTAGCAACTCCAAGAGAGACTTTCCACAGTTTAAGTACGAGTAGGCTTTATTGGAATGACACATACTTGTGATTGAAGGGGAGCAAAATTTGACATGCCAAAATATGCCTCTTTGCCATAAGGATTATTTTAGGCTGATTATTTTTAAGACAGCAGACACAGGAAAAACTCTGAAAAGTAAATATAGAAGATACCCTTTTGTAAGAGGCATTTACATTTATAATGGAAATCTCCATTTGTAAGGGTGTCTTCCTCTCAGTACCAGGAAGAGAAGGATGACTAAATCTCTAGAAATTTATCAATGGAGGCAGCAGAGACTTAAATCTGCAGAGCAACTTTACCCTTGTTTACGGTTCTTTGCCTGATAATCTCCCATAACTGAGTCCCCCCACCTCCACATCTTATTTTGTCTTTAGCTAGTGATGGCCTTTAGGGTGGTGGGTTGGGCCATTTCAGGGAGTTACTCAGTTTTCCTGGGTCTCTCCTGTGTGTACAGGAGGAATACATGTTATTAAACTTGTTTGTTTTTCTCTTAATTTTTTTATTATAGGGTGTCTCAGCCAAGAACCTAGAAAGGTAAAGGAAAACTACCTTTTCCTCCCCTACATAGTTCTCCAAAGTACTTCTGCTAAAGTCACTGATCACAGAAGATTGGTTAAAAGTTATAATTAGCACAGTTCAGAAATTATTTGACGACCATGGGTGTCAGCACAATTTAAATACTTAAAGATTCAGAATTTCCAGTGGGATGGACATTCCAGATGTGATACCCTATTCAGGTAGATGTGGAGAGAATAATTCATCTCTCTATCACTGGGTTATAAGAGATCTATACGACATCTTCAAAGTCAGAAACCAAATAGTCACAACCTAGTATCAATTTCAGATTTTTACATCTAATTGTGTCATGTGCATAT